TTTTACACTTTAATCTGTATAATTTACACTTTAATCTGTAAATTATACACTTTAATCTGTAAATTTTACACATTAAATTGTAAATTTTACACATTAAAGTGTAAAATTTAAACTTTAATCTGAAAAACTTGTACTGTAATCTGTAATAATCGAACAGTTGTTTCATGGTGTTATACCTATGACATTTGAAAAATAATATAAAACTGAGATGTTCACAAGTGTTTGCAGTGTGTTGGCCAAAAGATACATGTAAACAAGAGGCCCAAGGGCCTTGAATCGCTCTTCTGATAAACTGTACAACCTATCACTTCTATTTGAAGACTTTAAGTATCCTGTATATTTAGATAAACCCTTGAAATTCCAAAAGTAGGTCATCATGACCTACATTTTAGATGAAACACTCTGAGAACCCAAGATGATTCTAAGCCAATAAGTACCTGAGAGTTGGTCATGGTGTCCTACTTATCACTTGTCATTCTCTGAGGACCCAAGATGCATAAACTAAGTTTGATGATTCTAAGCCAATTAATACCTAAAATATTTTTTAAAATTATAACAATAAAATTTCAAAAGTAGGTCATAGTGACCTACTTTTCATATGACATCCTTTGAGGACCCAAGATGCACCAACTGACAAAGTTTGATGATTCTAAGCCAATAAGTACCTGATATATTTAAATAAAGCCATAAAATTTCATAAATAGGTCACAGTGACCTCCTTTTCAGTCGACTACCTCTGCAGACCCAAGATGCATCAACTGACAAAGTGGTTGATGATTCTAAGCCAATTAGTACCTGAAATATTTAATTATAGTCATATAAATTGAAAAGTAGGTCACGGTGACATACTTTTCAGTCGACCTACTCCTAGGACCCAACATGCATCAACTAACAAATTTTGATGATTCTAAGCCAAATAGTATCCGAAAATATCAAATACAGCCATAAATTTTCAAAAGTAGGTCACAGTGACCTACTTTTGAGTTGTTGTACTCCAATGACCCAAGATGCATCAACTGACAAAGTTTGATGAATCTAAGCCAATTAGTACCTGAAATATTTAATTAAAGCCATAAATTTTCAAAAGTAGGTCACGGTGACCTACTTTTCAGTCGACCTACTCCGAAGACCCAAGATGCATCAACAGACAAAGTTTGATGATTCTAAGCCAATTAGTACCTGAAACATTTAATTATAGTCATATAAATTGAAAAGTAGGTCACAGTGACCTACTTTTCAGTTGACGATTTTTGAGGACCCAAGATGCATCAACTTACAAAATTTATGATCATAGGCCTTAAAATGTCCAAATTATGCCTCTAAAAGGCTTTGAAATCGAATGCCTGCAAAGTTCAAAAAGTAGGTCACTGTGACCTACTTTTTAATAAATATGTTTTATGGCCCCAAGAAGCATCATCTTACAAGATTTAATGATTCTAAACCTCTCAGTATTCGATTTAGTGACCTTAATTGTTTTCAAAAAAATAAGCCACAAAATTCAAAAAGTAGGTCAAGGTGACCTACTTTTAGTCGACGTACTCTGAGGACCCAAGATACATCAACTGACAAAGTTTGATGATCATAGGCCTTAAATTGTTCAAAATATGCCTCTAAATCATTTTGAAAAAGAATGGCCGCAAAATTTCAAAAGTAGGTCACCGTGACCTACTTTTGAGTCAACGATATGAGGTCCTTAGATGCATCAACTGACAAGATTTGATGATCCTAGTCCTTAAAGTAAGCAAAATATCAACATTTTAATGAAATGTAATTTTTGCTCAACTTTGAAGTGACCTTGAGACCATGCCCTTTGCCCCAGGGTAAATCCCTGTGCAAATTTTAATCTACAACATATCCTCATCCTTTTGTGTAAGTTTGGTGATAATCTGCCCAGTGGTTCTTGAGAAGAAGATTTTTAGCAACCAGTACTTTTGTTTCTAATGATCTCCCCTTGTTCAAAGGGTCACAATCCTAGTTTTAGTATAAACGGGAGCCCTTGGGCCAAGGATACCCTGTGACAAATTTGACAATAATTGGCCAAGGGGTTCTTGAGTTACGGCCCATATTCTAAAAAGTTTACGCACACCGCACAAATGGCCATAGCATTAGCTCTTTGAGACTTTGGCTCAGAAAAGCTAAAAATGTTGGTACCCAAAAAAAAGGTCTTATCTCCAGAAATATACCTGTGAAATTTGAAAGCCCTCGTTGCAACTGTTCAAAGTTATGGCGAAGGTTAAGATTTTTTAAAAGTAAGTAAAACGTCAAGGTCAAGGTCAAAGTTGTTGGTATCCAAAGGAAGGTCTTGTCACAAGGATTACATATGTGAAGTATGAAAGCCCTAGCACCAACCATTCAAAAGTTATGGCTAAGTTTAAAGTTTTTCAAAAGTAGGTCAAACTCCTAGGTCAAAATCAAAGGGTCAAAGAGGTTGATACCCAGAGGAAAGTCTTGTCACAAGGAATACACATGTGAAGTTTGAAACCCCAAGCACCAACTGTTCAAAAGTTATGGCCAAGGTTAAATTTTTCAAAAGTAGGTCAAACTCCAAGGTCAAGGTTAAAAGGTCAAAGTTGTTGGTATCCAAAAGAGGCCTTGTCACAAAGAATACACATGTGAAGTTTGAAATCCCAAGCACCAACTGTTCAGAAGTTATGGCCAAGGTTAAAGTCTCATAAAATTTCGCAAAAGTGGGTCTAACTCCAATGTCAAGGTCAAATATGATGGTACCCAAAGAAAGGTCTTGTCACAAGGAATACACCTGTGAAATATGAAAGTCATAGCTCCAACCAATCAAAAGTTATGGGCAAGGTTAAAGTTGACAACAGACAGAGAAACAGACAGACAGGACAAGAACAATATACCCCCGTGATCTTTCGATCCAGGGACATAATAAAAAGATATTAAAATACAAAATGTAATTGAAATGTAATTGAAAAGTAATGATCATTACTGATATTTTTTTGAAAGTAATACATTACAATTACTTGTAATTGAAAGATGGATCCATTACACCCCATTACTTTGAAAAAATATAATGATTACAATGCATTACCATTACACATTACCATTACCCCAGGTTTGTATCCTTGCTAATCTTATTAGTACAAATTAAGTAATGTAGTTTCAGCATACTGTAGATTCTTAAATGTACACGAGGAATTAATTATCGCATAATTACGCAAGAAGAACCACTCACGAAATAAAATTACTTGCTTTAATTTTTATGGTGCTGAAATCCATGTAAAAACTCCTGATAAAGCAACCACTCGCGAATTATACTTCTCGCAATTTGTCATCCAAGGGCCATTTCATGATATTAAGTACTCATGTAAAATAAGGAATCTACAGTATTTGTTGATTTAGTCAAATTCACCACTTCAATAATAACTAGAACTGTCCAAAAGGGACAAATACCCCCGCTGGGTTTTTCAGAGAAGTGACAAATCACTAATATTTTATGCATCTAAGAGGTGTTCACACTTTACTTAAATTGCTCATTACATATTTTTAATGAAGGAAACTAAGGTGCAACCTAATAAAACATCAATACTAATTATTACATTTTTTATTACATTGAAAAAATAAATTACAACTATCTATCATCATGAGACATGACACTCTGCAAATTAATTGTTGAAAAAAAAAAATCATATTTAATTATACAAAATCAAATTAATCTTGATAACTTTACATCCAAGTCATTTTAAAAATAAAAGGCTGGTCATCCAGTAAATTCATGTATGCATTTTGACAGACTATAAATTGAGAGAGATCTTTAATTCTTCTGCCAAATTCCCAGGAGATACATATATAGATGCTTGATCAGAGATGCCCTAACAGTTTCCCACATTGAACTCCTTTAATTAATCTTTAACTGGATGCATATCCACTCATTAATCCCAAGGGACAAATGGATTTAAGATAACTGCTTTGTAATGCACTGTGTACAATAGAAAAGGTATATCTATGTCATTCTATTGAAAACAAAGATTTTTTTCCTTTTAATCTGTTACAAAACTTTATATAATGGAAAAAAAAGAACTGTGTAATCTTGATGCAACATATTTAATAGGGTTACTGCATGACTCTTGGATTTGTAGGGATTATCTGTCAAAAAAACTTTTTTTAATACTTGGTGATTTTATTTTTAGTTTTAATGAGTAGTTTTAAGCTGTAGTTCACATTTTTGTACAGATGTACCAACTGGCAGTTCTAGATTCTATGTCTCAGACCTATATAAATCCAACATGACTAAGTCAATAAAAACAAAACAAACAAAAAAACACCTGTAAAATGCAGAAAAATTAACCAATAATGATGAGAATAGCAGGTGCACACCTTCATATAATGAATAAAAAGTTTACAAATTTTTCAGACAAATCTATGCAATAGTCTCTGAGAAAAGGTCCAGACAAAATCGCGTAATAAAAATGAAAAAAAAAAAAAACACCTGTAAAATGCAGAAAAATTATCCAATCATGATAAAAATACCAGGTGCACACCTTCATATGAATAAAAAGTGTACAAATTTTCAGACATATCCATGCAATAGTCTCCAAGAACAGCTCTGGACAAATCTCCTCTACAGACAAACAGACAGACTTACAGACATGGTGATTCCAATATACCCCCCCTAAACTTTGTTTGCAGGGGGGTATAATTATGAATCATAATTTTATGGACAATGGTCCTACCAATAAGATTTTTGTCATGTTTCTTATTTGATGAACATTCAATTTCAAGAATCGACTCAAAAAGAAATCCACAAAAATAAGTGTTCATAATGATAAAACCACAGTATGCCCTCAGTATATATGCTAGATGTCAAAGGTAAAGATGGACATTTTTCAAATGTATTATTGCATCTTCACTCATAGCCCTGCCCAAACAGCAGAACTGTTGACACAGGATTCATGATGAATTTCATGAATGGTAGAAATGTTCATGATTATTCAAACCATGTATTTAGTTTGTTTGCTACAGAAAGAAGACCAAACAAATTTTACTTTTTACCAAAAATTTATGGCCCCTGGGGTAAGGATAATTAAATTGACAAGTTGTGTTCTTTCCACACAGATGTTACAAAGCTGAAGTATATCATTACTGACACACAGGAATAGCTATACTTTATCTTGGTGACACAGGTGACCCAAAAATGAAGACAGCCCAAAAAAAAAGCTGCCCAAAAAAATCACTTAAGCATTTGTAATGCTTAAAAAATTCAGTAATCCCAATCTTTAACTTCCATAATTCTCATAGTAATCAATGCTTTGAAAATTATTTTACGGTCTTCACTCTTTAAGAAATTGAGCTGTTTTGTGTAAAATAATATTGGTTCTTCATCCTTTGTTGAATCAAATTTCACAGATCCAGGTTTGTTTCTTCTTTTTATTTTTTCAAAGCTTTCTGGTTTGATTTTCAGGAAAGTAAATAATACCTGCAAAAATAAATTTGACTATTAAATCTTTTAAACAAATAAGCCATCTTTCCAAGTCAAGGGTTTGTGATCCACTCCACTCCACATACACCCTTGACCAAATAGACTGACTTTGACGGGGTTTACTATCGCACCATCTAGTGAAATTACACGTTTTGAACTCTATTGCCCTCTGCTATTGACCAATTAGAGTAAGCGATTTAAATAGAGAATGTGAGACAATATTGAAAGTTGTTAATAAATTCACTCCAAAGCCGAGACAATCCTTTAACTTGGTCATTTAATGTAAAGATATTTTCGTTGGGACAATAACTCGACAGGTGTGTTTTTCTGTTAATAACGATTAAGTTTCTGGTTAGATAAAACAATGTTTTTGATTGGCTCATGCAAACTTTAATGAGGGAAATCAGAGAGCGCTTTCTAACCTGTTGGTCTATTTGATCAAGGGTTTATGTGGAGCGGAGTGGATCAGAAACCCTTGACTTGGGAAGATGGAAATAAGCATGCTTCATTTCTAATTTCGAAAAATTGTCTTTTTTTCTTCTTCATATAATTGAGATAGAATTTTCCATGTACATAAATGTCTCCCCTACAGATATGGTTGGGAGAAGGATTTTACACAGATGTCTGCTATGACCTTGACCTTTGCCCTATAAACTTGGTTCAAGATCACTGCACACTTATTACCCAAAAGCATTCTGTGGGTGAAGTATGACCAAGATTGGGCCAAGGGAAGAGGAAATATGGTTTTTACAAAAGGATCAGCTATGACCTTGACCAAAGAGCTAGAAACTTGGTTGAAGGTCATTGCAAACCCTTTACCCAAAGGCACCAACTGGGTGAAATATGAGTCAGAATGGGCCTAGTGGTGAGAAAATATGGTTCAGTCAAGTGATATCAGATGGAAAGACATGCAAGATGAAAAGACTGATCCCTATAGGGTGCCCGCAGAGCGAGGCTCTAATTACAGTCTCCATTATCTTCAGAAGAAAATTTTTAACTTTATATTTATATATATTTCTTTATATGTGAAATATTCATGAAAAAGCAGAGTTCATGAATATTCATCAATGTAATTTTCATGCACAAATATTCATGATCCAAAAATGTCCAATAATAATTAAGTTCATAACATTCCAAGCATTCAGAATAAATCATTCATCTTGCATTTACATGTATTGGTGTTCACTTTGACTCACGTTTGAGTGCTGTTTGCACTCTGCATTTGCTCACCTTTCAGTGTTCAAAGACCATTCACTCACCGTTCGCTCACCATTTGTTCAGTGTTCTCTCACCTATCAAGTGGGAGAGTTTTCAGGGACTGTAATATTGACTCAGATTAAATGTTACTTACAGTTTTCACTTACATTTGTCTTTTGTATGACCATTCCAAGTAGACCTCGTTTTAAAACAGAACTTTCCAAATACGCTAGCAGTTCTCCAACATGCTGGGCATATACATTTGATGACAGACCACCAATAGAGCTTGTACTGGAACTTGTCTCCTCATTTACAGTTTCCAATGTTGATGATGAAGAGCATGACTTTTTCTTAACTGGTGAAAAATCTGTTCCTTCTTCAGGATTTTTTCTTTTTACCTATTTAAAAGATGTTCTTCATATTCTATAATCTTAAATATAACAAAAAATTAGTTTTGATCATGCTTTAATATAGTCTTAACAAACACTTTAGTAAGATTGTATTTTTTATTCCAAAAATAGTAATTATTGTTCTTCTTCTGTTCTCTTAAATCATATTTTACATAATCAAATCTGATTACATTATTCTACTAATTTCATTAAACTACTATAAGTTAGCAAATCAGAACTATGAATTAGATCATGTGCTGGTAAAAAGTTAAGTATAGTCCTGACTGGACATAACATAACATGAGAGTGGACCCAGGGTTGTTTCTGTGTTTGATTTTGGTTAGCTCAGTATTTGCTCCTTGTACCCTTTGGGTCAACAGAAAGAGAATGCAACCTCCATCATTCAAATTAACTTTACACACACAAGTTTGAAGGGATTGATTGATTGTGTGTTGTTTTACGTCCCGTTCGAGAATTTTTCACTCACATAGAGACGTCACCATATACCAGTGAAGGGCTTCAAATTTATACCTTTACTCGGCACTCAGGGCCATTGAGCAGTGAGGATTCTTTATCGTGCCAATGCCTAACGTGACACAGGGCCTCAGTTTTTAAGGTCTCATCCGAAGGACCCACAACTTTCACTACAAAGTGCTGAGCACTTGGCGAAGGAACAGTTACTACCTATTTTTTCATCAACTTAAGTCAGTCGCGGCCGTGATTCGAACACATGACCTTCTGATCATAGAGCGAGCGCTCTACTGACTAAGCTACCATGAAGGGAAGCCAAAGTTAAAAGTTTTGATAATACTGGCCATTTGGTTTAAAGATATCTGACAAATTATAAACTGAAAGGGTGGATATGACCTCAAAGCACTTGCCCAACTTAATGCTCAACAGATGGAGAGAATACCCAAAATCAGGTATTACCCATGAAATCACATATAATACACAATAGTGTGTATCGTTGAATCTGCGAAATCAGGTAACCTGTGCAACTTTCCTCAAAAGCAGAAAAATAAAGCAAATAAGGTGCATTATGTCAGTAAGCATGGTATGTACCTCAATGTCTAAGGGGTTTAGAGGTCAAAAGTCAAAAACCACATGACTAACATGGTCGAAGTAAAAAGAATGACGGCAGCATCATTATTTTTCAATGTAACTATGATAAACAAATCACTTCAAGTGTTTTGTGTCTATTTCACAAGTATATTCCCTTAGCTTATGTGAAAAGTTTATGATGAGTATGACAACTGGCAACAACGATGATGAAGACAAAAGATAAAAAAAAATGATCAGAAAAGATTACTTAAGCCTTTAGCTCAGGTGTGCTAAAATCTCCAGCTCTATCATAATCCATCATAATGTATATGTATACATATGATTTAAAGTTTAAGTCTTACCTCACAGACACTTAATATAATCCTTGGATCATCACATTTAGTGACAAGAATATCAGCTTTTGAGGAGATTTCTTGTCCAAATATTGTGGCATGTCCCATTGGTAAATATGATTGTGTCCTACAAATCAAATAATTTGTTTACAATTTTTTTTTAAAATTAGAACATGTAGTAATACACATCTGCACTCCATAGTAACCATATCAGCACAAATGGTCTGTGGCCCATATGAATCACCTGTAATTAAACACAACCCTGCAAAAGCTTAATAAAACACTCTGTTTGCCAGTTAACATCAATATCATAATTTGAGCAATGTGACCCATATGGCCTCTTGTTGTGATTAATTGTCATGCAATGACAATTAAACACCACAGAAGGCAATGAGCTACATGTACATTGCTCTAAAAATTAAATATAAGTTTGCTTCCATATCAATTTTACAAATTTCATCCCAAGAAGATCTAATATAGTACACTACAGTCAACAAGGATCCCTTATTTTCCGCAAGCTCTTGTAAAATGCATTTTGGCACAGGTGTCTGAACCCGTCACCTTTCCTGTTCTTGAGAAGAAAATTTTCCGAGGTGTTCCTGTGTATAATTTTGATCTCCTATTGTGGCCCTGCCCTACCCCTGGAGTGTCATGATTTGAACAATATTAAATCTATATGTACACTACCTATGGATGCTTCTGTATCAATATGATTTATAACGGCTTTGCTGTTCTTGAGAAGACGATTTCTACGCAAATTGCCCATATATTCCTATGTAAAACTTTGATCCCCTGTTGCAGACCCCCTGTTCCCCAGGGGTCATGATTTGAACAAAACTAATCTACACTATCTGAGGATGTTTTTGTATAATTATGACTATTCAAGGCTTTGCTGTTCTTACAAAGATTTCTGAAGATATTTCCAATATAATTCTATGTGATCTACACTATCTGAGAAAGATTCTATATTAATATGATTAATGAAGGCTTTGCTGTTCTTGAGAAGAAGATTTTTCAAGATATTTCGTACATAAATATATGTAAAACTTTGATCCTCTGTTGTGGCCCTGTCCTAACTCCAGGGGTCATGACTTTGCCAAACTTGAATTTACACTATGTAATGAAGCTTTCATATATGTTACATCTGTTCTGACCCAGTGGTTCTGGAGGAGAAAATTTTTAAAAGATGCTATTAAATTTTCACTAATTCTTAATTATATCCCCTTGAAAGAGGGTGTTGCCCTAGGCCATCATTGGAACAACCTGAAGTCGCTTCATCCAAGGATGCTTTTTTGCAAGTTTGGTTGAAAATGGCCCAGTGGCTCTGGAGAAGTCAACAATGTGAAAAGTTAACAGACGATTGGACAGACGGACGATGGACAAAAGGTAATCAGAAAAGCTCACTTGAACATTCGGTTCAGGTGGGCTAAAAATATGCTCACAACAAAGATTCAAGGTCACTGCACACCCATTATCCACAAGCAATCTATGGATGAAGTATGAGACAAATAGGGCTATGACAAGAGAAAATATGCTTCAGGCAAGGGTTTTCTAAAAGGATGTGCAATTACCTTGACCTCTGATCTAGAAACTTTATTCTTTACCAACAAGCCATCTATGGTTGAAGTTTGGAGCAGACAGGAGCAAGGGGGAAGAAAATGTGCTCCAGACAAGGATTTTACATAGATTTGATGTATCATTGACCTTTGATCTAGAAACATGGTTCAAGGTCACTACATATACATCCTTTATTGATGAAGGTTTAGCAGGATTAGACCAAGGGGAGATAAAATATACTCTGGAAAAGTGATATAGGACAGACAATTGGGTGGACTGACAGACTGACTGATCACTATAATAGGGCTCCAGCAGAGAGGTACCTTAATAATTAGTGTGCAGTGCTAGTGTAGAGAGGGTTCTTAATGGCGTTTCAATCTTCTTCTTACCTGTCTTTTTCAAGTACGTTAATATAATCACAAATTAAATAAATACATGTACATGTATAGAAGATTGACTCCCAATGGCTAATTCATGAATACACTATCAGCTGAAGAGCAGTATTGAGGAGCTAAATTTGGAGTGCACTTTTTCATGAATGTTTAGAGTATTCCAGGATATTCATAAAAGAAATGTTAAGGAATAGTTCTACACTGGTATTAATTGTTACCATTACTGCAGCATCCATCATCCAATATGGTGATGAAAGAGAAGGTCAAGACATTCTCAGGTCTTCTTTACTATATATATTTAGCACAACATGAAGCTACATGGCAGAAAAATTAAATGCAGGATTTTTTAAAACTTGACAATGTCATTTACTTTGAAATTATGTCATTGACCAATTTAAAATGTTTTGCAATGCATCTAGTGTGTTTATATATATATGTCAGATGTATGTCTTTATCAACTGTTTTAAATTTATGTGAACTAAAGAAAAAATCTAATTTTACTAAATTTGTGACAGTTTAATTGCTCTCACTCTTATGTATCTTTGTTTAAAGCTTGATGAAAAAATCTTGAACAATTTCTTTGAAACTGATCTATACACTAAGCTAAACACAATTCATAATATTCATTTTACTCATTCTGTTTCTGCCTAAACCAAGAGATGGAACAGGACACATAGTCAGAAATACTGAATAAATTTTTCTTTTTTTTTTTTTTTAATTATGTAACTCAAATATGGACCAATGAATATTTGTTTGGACCAGTATATTTCATCAAATCAAAGGTCCACTTAACCATTGAATTTTTTTTTAATTTAAAAAACTTCACTAGTATTCACATTAGGCAAGTTCTCAGCCTGAGAATTTCATGACTTTTTCCTGTCATTGCTATGTTGGATGATGATTACTGCAGTAATGGACAGTCGGTTAGTACCAGTGGTTCTAGAAATGTACCAGGGTTCTTGTATATATACTTACATGACTTTAAATTCAAACAATTTAAGAAATTTTTCAAAGAGAATTTGATAATCAATTTCATATGGCAACTGGCTCTCTCTTTTTTCGGGCTGGTGTATTTGCTGCATGGTGTCAAACAGAAAATATCCAAACTCTTCACAGTTTTCACTGAACCTAAAATGCCAATAAAAAAAAATGTAACCACTTTTATATTTAAACTATTCAAGACTGAACTGATTTCTGCTTTTTCCTAGCCAAAGTGCTCAGGTGAGCAATGTGGCCCCTGGGCCTCTTGTTTTTTTGTTTTTTTTTTGTTTTTTTTTAAATAGTCTGCAGTGTTTTCAATAAGAGCTGGCAACCAGCAAAATTAACTGCCTGTACAAGAAATTTTGCTGGCTATGAGATTTTAGTCATTGGGATTTTGCCTATAAGATTTCAGTCATTGGGATTTTGCCGGGGTTAATGGTACATGAAATCCATAGATTTAATCGCAACTATCTACATGATCTAGAGTAACTTCCCTTGAGTGCACTCTTTTTCTTGAAAGTTTAATTTGATCCAAATTTCACATACTAGGCTACAACTTGCGAGAGTAAAGTTTAAAGAATATTTCTTTTTTATTTAAGTAAGTAAATTCTTTATTTCCAATTCTGGGCCCATTCATGGCATATGAGAACAAATCAAACATAAATAAGAGAAGAAACAAATAAACAATAGAGAGGGCAAGAGAACCAAAAGATAGATAACAAAGTAGCTAAGGTTTTGACAACGAACTCTGTATATTTACTGCTTCATTGACATAAGCTAAATATTTAAAGATTTTGATGATATTGTATTATTTATAACTCCAAAAGTGAATGTTTAGTAAAATGTCTTTTTGGTGACAGAATCTAACAAAATCATCTAGAAATTGCTGTACAGCTGAACATTGCCAAATTAAATGATATATTGTTTCTTCCTCTGCTTTACAAAATGTACATAGAATCATGATAGATTAGAATATATAATGATTGATTCTATATTGAAGCCATTGTAATTTACTGTTTTGGGTTGTTACAAAAGGTAGATACTAAATTGCTTTCCAGTGCATGTGTGTATCTGTCAAGTTGAAGAAATTTGACCATTTTCCCATACCCACAGGTTTTATTACTGATTTATTTTGCACATCATGCATAGGCTTTGATCCTTTTTGGTCAACACAAAGACTTTGATATCGCATGGAATTTCTGGTTTATGAATGTATCCATTTTAAATTTACAAAAGTTATACCTTTTTAAATTTATCAGTATTGCTTGTTGTATGCCTGTATAAGTTAAATGGTTGATATGAATATCATATAATTTTGTTGAATGTTGTCTAATGTTAAGAAGTTACTATTCTCATCTAAAAGATCATGTAAATATTTTTTTTCCTTTACATACCAGGACTAATAGAATACTGTTTTTTTTTTTTTTTACTGATTTTTAATCTTTTTATCTTGTCTATACATTTCAAGATTTGATTTCCATAAAAGAACTAAAAATCAATTTATTAATTTAAGACCTTTTACAACACCTAATGGTGGTTTGGTAAAGTAATAAATATGATTAAGGTGTGATATAAGAAGTGATTTAATAATGTAATTCTTTCAATAGGAGTTAAGTTTCTTTTTTTCCATTGCTCAATGATGGTCTTAATTTTTGCCCATTTTTTTTTTTTTTCATAATTCAATTTAATCATCTTTGCTAGGCCATATGAATTAATTTATAATTTGTTGAGGATGTAAATTTGTGTGTGAGGGGACTCACAAAATCAATGAAAATTGAGCCTCCACACATTCTAATGTTACCACAGTCAGGCACAGTGATTGATTCATGAAAACCAAATGAAATCATACAGTATGCAATTTTTAAGTAGGTCCTTTTGGATAAACTGTGTACAAGTCTTATTTAGTTGATGATGAATTGCCCTGCTATTCTAAAAGTGCTCAGTCTCCCATTTCAATAATATCAACTTACAATTTAAGCTCTTTGACTGTTGTCTTTGGAAACCACTCCTGTACCCACTGCTTATAAGGTTTGGTCTCATCATATGGTATCTCCTCCAATGAATCGAAATCAACACACGGTAAACTGCATATTTTAACAATTTCATCAATTCTAGATAATTCAGCGTCTGTCAAATTACATAATGACCATTCTGTTCGTACCAGTTCAAATGGGCTTGTCATTACCCTTCTAATGCCAAATTTATCTATCAAACCATTAGACCAAGAGCTCGGGTTACTTGGAAAGTCGTTTTTGTCTGAGCTTCCATGCGAACTGGGACAAGAAAAATCGCTATTTGTTGAAGAGTCATTCTTTGTCATTGTACTTGACAACGGAGGGGAGGGTGTCTCTTCTTTCTCCATTTTATCATTAGTTTTCTTTTCACTTTTCATCTTTTGTTTCTGTTCCCTCTCTGTGTCACGTTTAAAGTTTTCAGACCAAATTGTACCGTAGCAAATTCGTATTCCGTCGGGTAACGGGACGTTTCGCTCCTATTGACGTTTCTCGCCGAGACCATTCGTCCCCAAAGACCTTTTGCGCTAAGACGTTTCGCGCTACATTTAATCTAGAGAATAGAACATTATATATAAATATTAAATTGTTTATATCTATTTCCATATCTAATTTATATTGTCTTTATTTTTAAAAAATAAAAATTATCAAATGTTATTTTTTGCTGTTTTAAGTTAATTAATAAATTAATTCATCCAGATGCAGATATATCCCCTACTACCCAAACTCCGTCACCATAAGCGGAAAACACGTCAGGTTACTCTCTGAATTATTTTTTTTATTTGTTTCATGTTTGCTACACTTAGTAATGAACTTAAACATTGTTTTCAGAACTATCTAAAAAAAAAAATCAGTTAATATTGGACTTATACAAAACTACTATAAATAGAACGCGTATCACATCCTAGTTAGAATAATCTAGCTGTGTCTCGGGACAAGCCCTCACCACCGGGTCCGCAGGACAATATCTAACGATAGAACGTTCTATCTAATCACATCCGTGTACATATCGTCCAATGAACCTAACTCCGTCACCATGCCCTCTACAATATGTCAACGTATTAATTAGAAAATAAATTTCCAGTTTAGTTTTTTCTCCCTTCATCTTAAACTTGTAGACATAGAAAATTAGCTTTGACGATTTTTAAAAATGGTATTAAATTGCATTTTAGGAAAAGTATCAACAACAGAGAAAATAACGTTAATATAACATATTTTATATGTAATAACGTCATGCTACGTTATCTCCAACGTGTAGCATATACGGATAAATTGAAACGAAAAATGAAATATTTTAGGCCGTATTCAATATGGTATGTCATATTAATCCTTTAATTGGCAAAGACGTTCATAATTATAATTATGACTGACATGTAAAAATGAGTATATTGACGCACCTGTCGGAGGTATCGATGGAATAGTGCCTAAAGGAAAAAGTACTTACTGATTTCACATAAAATATGATAGATACAATAGATCATGTGTAACTGTTTTTTTTTTTATTTTTGACGCATTCTTGAACTTAATTGTAAAAATTTATCGGCATTTGATGGTAGATTTTCAGAACTTTCAATTATGTTACTAAAAATTCTTGATATCCCAAACATAATGTCCTATACTAAGAGTAATTTTATGAATTCATTAAAACAATCCATGAATAAAAAATACTCACTTGATTGGCAACACTCAAATGAAACACTAAAAGAGGGCAAACTTGTCACTTATTTATTTCTGAAGAACAATTTTAGATTGGAAAAATATCTAATTTTATTAAAACCTGAATACAGAAAACCAATATGTAGATTACGTGTATCAGCGCACAGACTTTTCATAGAATTAGGCAGATATAATAACACACCCAGATCAGAGAGAATATGTAAAAATTGTATGCTTAATTAAACTGAAGATGAAGAACATTTCCTTATTCACTGTAGCAAATTTTCAAAGGAAAGAGAAGACCTATTTAACCTGATCTCATCTAAAGTAAAACATTTTACAGATTTGCCTGATAAACAAAAATTATTCTGGATTCTAAATTGCGAAGAACTAGATATACTAAACTCTCTCGGAAGATTTTTACAAAAAATATTACCATAAATTTTAGGAATGTAACTTTTTTTTATTATTATTAATTATGTAAAAGTATGATACTTTCAAGTATATGGTTTAGTAATGTATGCATATATATATATATATGATGCACTGTATATATACCTATAAAACAAGTCTTATGTTCATATAAAATATTTTGGGTATTCCCCTACTTGTATGTCTTTTCTATCAATCAAGCAATTCTTTCCCTCTTATGTATATGTATATTGTATTTCGTGTGTATGATCATAATCATTATATACATTTTAACAATGTACTTTCTTTTTGCCCCATGAGGGCCCTTAATTGGTCAATAAACGAATTGAATTGAATTGTTACTTGTTACATTTAAGGAATGTTTTTAAGTTTTGTGTGAGTTTTTGGTGTGTAAATCACACAGACTTGTCACGTGGGCACATTTAATATATATGCCTAAAATATGCCTACGTGCAAGTCTGTGTGATTTACACACCAATAATTCACACTAAACTTGAAAACATTCCTTATATTTACATTTTACAAGTTCAAAAGCAACAATATTATGCTCAATATCTGAATTTCTTGCTGCCCTATATCGTTACATTTTTATTAACGTCTCTGTAGCCTCATTGTGACGTCACTTTACCGCGAGTTTCACCATGTATATTTCTACGCGTGAGTATACACAAAAATAATTTAATTTTGTTTGTATTCTAGCCTCTGATTGGTTAATATCCAAAAAGGAACACAAATTATATCTGTATAACCTGGTTTGGTATGGGGACACACCCCCCTGACAACCAGCTGAATCGTCTGTATCCATGCAATCCTCTCATTTCCAGTCCTCGGGATTCATGGAAAATTCCAGATTTAATAAATGTAAACAGTAACTCGGATCTTACTACATGTAAACAAAAAACATGGCTGCTAGGACTATGTATCAGTTTTTACCTCCCCTTGCTTCCCATCACTTCCGTTACTAGGGTTGTATTATTGAGCGGCAAATTTGAACTAATAAAAAGCAACGAAATTTTACACCAACAGTAGTTTAATGATTTTAGAATTAAATTATAAGGAATGACTCTAATTCTTGGCCAAATTATTCGAGTATAACCTGGTTTGGGTCAGTTTACGCTGTTTTATAATCCGCTTCGCATAGTAATGTATGCATATATATATATATATGATGCACTGTATATATACCTAATATCAATGAAATATGTCAATATTGTTCTGGAGCAGGCCTGCGCTCTATAAATTTTATAGTAAAAATTGAACAAATGTTGTCCATTTTTTCCTCTTTCTGAAAAACAACACAAAATCCGAATAGTTTGTGACGTCATAGGAACAAAAATTGCTAATAACCTACTTTGAAACTATAATATTTTTTGTTAATTTAAATTTTTATACAATATATACAATTCAGCACATTTCAAGATATATTCAAAATATGACTTTTGTGGGGGCAAAAATATGCATATACCGCATATAGTTCTTTTATAAAACTGTCTTTTCTTGTTTATTTTACAGTTACTGTACTATTAACATATACGTCTATTTTCATGATTTCGATAAAAGAAGAAAAGAAAAAAAATGTCAATATTAATAACGATGTGAATAATCCATTTATGCTGATTCCGTTGCCCCCCCCCCCCCCCTTCCCAATGTTGTTCAGGACCTGAATATATGTTTCATTACTTTCTAATTTGTTTATGTCAAATTTAAAAAGTACTTTTTTATCCGTAAAAACATCCAACTGCAGTCCTTGCTGATATACATGATACGTGTTATACATTCAAATTTAAATTTTCACCATGACCTCATGAACGTTTCTCTAGTTAGATTGACTTTAAAAATACTTTGTTAATTAAAGGTGGAGTCGGTAAATAAAACAGTTCTTCTTCTCTTTTGATATGACTGGTAGAAAATGCATGATGTTAAAATTTTCAATTATTTCTTTGACTGAAATGCTGTTTATGGCCACGGAGATTATTTTCTGGGGAACTAATTTTCGTACTACTTAACAGTTTTTCAAGATTTTCATTCTTAAAAAAATCGACAAAACGAACGAAAGAAAATTGCAGTAAATGAAACTGAAACTTTCATATTTTATAGGAACTAAAACTATTGACTTTTCTAATTTTACATGATTATAACAGAAAGTTCTTTTTCTGCATGCACAGCAGCGGCCGATCTATTTGTGGTTATGTTAGAATGTGCACATGGGGAAATGAGATGTTTTTTTTTCATTGCTTCGTTGGAATAATTCCTCATTGATCCATACATGAAAGTTATGATTAAAAGTTTTTAAAATTTTGCTTAATACTAAGTCTAAATGGTTGATATTATGTTTCAACTTGTTTTTAATTTCTCATCACATATTTATTAATTTTATGATTTTACAAAAATGTGTTTCATGAACTGCTCCCCAACACGGGCGTGCGTAAGATATAAAACAAAACGTATTGAGTTTCCGGATATGAATAAACAGGGCCTAAAATAATAAATAAATTAGAATAAGAACTGAATTTTGTTTTGAATACACTACAGTTGCAAGTGACACAATGCAGTCTTTTTCCTGCACTTCACATACATATCTATCACACACTAATCGGCATTATCACGTGACAAAGATCAAGGATATCAGCACGTGAAATTTGTACGATCTTTTTGTTTGCATGCAGACATTCATAATCAATTATTTTAGAAATGTTGCCTTTGTCCTTGAATCAAACAGTTTGATGATAATACATTCCTATCTTTTATCTCAGTCTGATTTTCATAATAATGAATTTATTGCTTTGGATAAATATTGATCACTGAAAATTAAAGTGTAAAAATAATGCACAGTAAAGTAAAGCAAGTGTAAAAATGTTTCATGTATTTTTTTCTAAATGGATTTTTTTCTATGACTCTTTCTCGTGAAAATACTTCAAAATGATGAAAGTATTTTTGCGGCCGATTTGATGCTTTGCATCAATTTAACCTGTTTTATATTGTTGGGTTAATGTCTGTAAAAAAAAAAAGCCAAGAACTATACAGTTTTCAAAAATAATACGGCCTTATAGGTGGATGTATAGCTGTACTAGTATATCAGTTTACAGTTCAAGGTTGTTGTTAAGGACAGCAAAGCTTTTTGGGGAAAAAAAGCTATACTTGTATTATCATTTTGTTGAACCACTGACATATGAAAAAGATATAACACCTGCTAAAAAAAAAGGAAAAAGAAATGTTTCGCTGGGTAGAACACACGTTTCATAATCTGATGCGAACCCGTCTAATTACTGCAAAACAGTTTCTAAAACTGTTCAAACTGCTAACTACGAAGTAGTCAATATAGGCATTTTTTTTTCAATTAAATCAGCATCAAAGGCCTTCCTGTTTAAAGCTGATATTACAAATTACAAATTAATCACTCTCTCTCTTTTTATTCTTGCTT